TGGAGGAATGAGAAACCCTGGATGGCCCTTCACACATCCTGCTGTCGCTCTGCCTCCGCCACGGAAACCAGCCACCACTGAGAACAGAAAAGAAAAGGGCTCGCTGAGCCACTGAAAAGCTACATTTAATATATATATTGGAGAACTTCTGACCTTCATTAGAGAACTCACACCCAGCTACAGAGATGACCTGCAGGTAGGAAACCACCCCAAATTGGACTCCATGCAGGTGAGGCAAGGGATCACGCAGCACTGTCCCTATTGTGGGGTGAACCAACATTTTTACCGGCGTTGAACCTGAAATGTCCGTGGCTGCTGTAATACCGGTATCTTCAGTACAGAAAATCCTTCCTGGCTTTGCTCTCCCATATGGGAACATTTAATGCAGACATGCAAGCAGGAGCTGAGCCACCATAGCCGCCCTGTGAGCCTTCAGTGAATAGGAAACGCAAGGTAACTGGATATCACCTGACACATTTTAGCCTTAGATTTGAATTATCTTGCACTTTGGGCTCTGTCTAAACAGCTCCTGTGGTTCAAACACAACCTACCCAAAGCAAGCTGAAGCCCCTGCCCCACACAGGTAAACCCCTCTGCTGTATCCTCCGCAAGAGACACACCAGTGCCGTCACCACCCTTGAGCAGGCTGGGACCGACCCTCAAAAGGACCCGAGACAAAACACTTCACTCCAGGACCATGTAGGGGCAGCCGTTGAATTTCTGGGGAAGAGTTCTGAGACTTTTGAGCCCAGTTGGTCTCTCGGGTCTCGGGGAGAACAGAGAGTTACCTGTTTAGAAAAACATCTTTCTCATTTCTAAATAACTTTTCAACGCAGATCAACAGGGACCAGCACAGATCCGCAAACCCCTGCCCTGGCCCACCACCGATCCCTGCTGCCTCTCCTCCCCACGACAGGAGGAGCACAGATCCTTCCAGCACAGGAGCAGCCAGCACCTATTTCCCCGCGATGCTCTCTAAGATCTTGTGGACAGCATTTTATTGCCTACAAGAAACTTGAGGGACTTGCTCCCCACTCAGAAAATGAGGGTGCAGGATGCCGCACCAACAGGCACAGGCTGCTGGTGAGCTTTTGGCAGATGCCACAAGAGCCTCGACACCCCATCAGAGTCACGCCATGATTTTGATAGGCGCCAGGGCAGCTTGGCTGGCGTCCCTGCTGTAAGAGCTGGGGCTACAACCTGCATGCCCTGACTCCCGAGGCAGTAATTTAAAGATTTCTCAGACAACTCTACGGGAAGAACCCCTTTCAGGATCCTCGGCATGCCAGCACTGATGGGATGCAGCATCTGCAGTTTAATTTATAAACCAATAAACGATCAGTACAAGGCTGAGTGAGTCTGAGACATAGCAACTAATGCACTGCAGTCTTCCTTGCTAAATCACCCCTGTTGACATGAGACCCATTAGCAAAAAGCTGTTATTCATCTCCCAGACACAACTGCAGAGGCAACGTAAGCAATGCTGACTATTGCACACCAGCATGCATGTACAGACTGTACCCAGCTGCTCTGGAAAAGCTGTTTCTGAAGAGCAGACACAGGCTCTCAGCCTGAGATAAAAGGACACTGTCTTAGTATTATTTAATCTCCTTGACAATGGAGCCAACTAAGCCAGAACAGGCTCTCTTATTCTAGAAAAAAAAAAAGTGTTCACCATGAGATCACTCCAGAACAGCTACTGGCCTTGAAATTCACATCTGATCTTGATCTGAACTTGCCTTCAAACCCAGTAATTTACACGCAAAATGACAGGCTGAAATCAAGACCTGTAACAGAGCAGGCAATTAGTGTGGGGGATTGAAAGAGGAAAGGCAAGTTGATGGGAGGCGGGGGATGGAAGGCTCATTTTATACCTTCACACAAGTCACATTTCACGTCCCAACAGCACCCTGCCCTGCTGCAGGGGATTTGCAAATGACACCCACTCCCTGATTTGCAAGTCGCATCGCCTCTGGATTGGGATCTTGCAAGATCAGACAACCTTATTAAAATAGTAAGCATCTTGCCTATCTAGGTACCTCCAGCAAACTCACCTACGTGGGACACAAGCCCCTAGCATCAGTCTCCCAGCCCTCAGAAGACGTGGCCAAGCCTCAGTTACCAATGATAAGTACAGACTTCCCAGGCTGCTGCTCTGCTCCCGCCGACCGCGAGCTATTCGGGGGACAGAAGTGAGAGAACACCATGGCTCGTTTCTGCCGAAAGGGGATGTGCGGACCTTCTCCACTGCCATTCCCATCCTTCTGCTTCATCTCTTGTGACAGCTCTGTGGTGCAGACGGTCCTGTGCTGAGCCGATTCAACTCACTACCGCTGCATGAAACAAGTCACTTCTTTTGCTGGGTTAGTTTTCTGCCTGTTTAACCTTCTGTCCAAAAGTAACCTGGCTGTTACCTCCGTGGGGGGATCAGAGAAGCACTGGAGCAAGCACAGGAGAAACACAGCAGGAGCATGTGCTTATGAACGCAGAGGAGGGAGGAAGAGGGAACAGGCCAGCCCTTTTCAGCAGTGACCCGATCGCTGGCTCAGTCAGTCTGATTTGCACCCAGAAAAGCATCTTCTTAGCACCGTGTTAGAAACCTACATGTTAAGAATACAGTATCCGACCTGTTGCCACCAGAAAGACGCTATTTAGAGCATTCTCAGGCTATAGGAGGCAGGTAGGCTCTGCAAACGCAGTCCGGTTAAGTCCAGGTAAACAGATATATATGAGTGCAACTCCTCTCTCTTCTTAATCCCCTACCAGACTGCAGAACTTGCTAGGGAAGCAGTGACGCTGCTCCTAGCCACAGGGCTGCACCAACCCTGTTCCCTGCTCACCTGAAATCAGCACAGCGACAAAAGAGGCACAGGGCAGTTGCCAGAGTAACCCAACGACTTCAGCACTGCTCACTCACCCAGTCTGAGCCCAGCCGGCTGCTCACTTCCCCGCCAGGACCACAGCTTAATCCTGGTCTAGGACTCAAGCAACGCAGGCTCCAGCCCGACCTCTCCCAGAGTGTCCCTGTAAGTTTCAGAACCGTTAATTCGAGTCTTTGTGCCCTTTGCCCCAGCTTACCAAGTGGTAAAAATGCTACTTATGCCCCCGGTAAACTAAGATCTTTCAGAGCCTGCATGAACCACAGCTTCCTTTCGTGGCTTGTTTTTGGCATCGTAGTTAAGGAAACTACACAACATGGGAACGGACAAGGCTTTGGCAGGTGTTTTTCACAGCCCTGAACCTGCTGCGTCTGACTCTGAAGCACTCCCTCTTCTTCACAGATCACATTTCCACTGTGCCTGGGTCCCTGGCCAGGAAGCTGGTACCACACACAGAGCTGAAGCAAGACCAGCTTCATGCCTTCATGAGCCAACCTCTGCAAAAAGCATGGGAAAAAAAAATCCCACAGCTGTGACAAGCTGTGACAGGCAGAGCAAGTCACCTGCAGCAAATCAAAGGGCTTATCTCTGCTCAGCTCCTCGTGGCTGTTTGCTTCCGCCCTCAGCAGTTTTAGCTGAAATGGAAGGTAGCACCAGGATAACCTCTGTGCCCCAGGGCTGCACCAAAACAGGGGGGCACACGGGTCCGGGGTCACACCTCCTGCAGAACTGGGGGTCAGGAAATGAGGTCAGTGTGCTGTGAACCTTCCCAGTGATGTTAGTCCGTGCCTATGCTTTCCCCTTGCTATCCTCTACAGACTGCAATGGGAGAGATTAATATTCTCCTTTTAATACCATTCCCTGTGCAGGTTCCCTCAGGTACCACCAGCTCTTCCCCACTGCCAGTCTCCAAGACCCGTTTTCTCTTTTGTCTCTCTGAAGACAAAGGGGCTCAGGTACGGGGGTACAGTGGCACTGTTGTTTGCACGTGGGACATCTGTTCTCTAGGAGCTGGGCATGTGTCCACCAACAGCTCTTTAGGAACAAAGCCAGCTCGTACAGTCTGCACAAGCAGTCCAACACGTGTCCTGCAGCAGCAGCCTCAAGCAGGAGGTGAATGAGGGCTGTGCTCGGCACTGGAAGGTGGGCAGAGACTGATGCGGGTATTACAGAGCTGCAGCCGAGTCCTCTCTCAGGAGAGCAAGGAAGGACGACACAAGAGAGGCCCCACCTTAACGCGTGGGATTCCGCTCTGATGCAAGGACGAGCCGCGTGCCGGGTTGACAGGACCTGACGTGCAACACTG